CAATGAGGTCCCATTGCCAGTACATCATCGGGAAAGGACCGTACCTGAAATAAAATTTCTTACAACTTGATACTGGAGGGATTGCTAAACATCATTCTAATCATTCTATAATATCGTACATTTATTTGACCGAATCGCGGAGCCATCTCAACAAGAATAAATGGGTAAATTTTCAGAGAAATGTTGTGCTTCGTCGGTGGGGGAATTAAAAGATGATTTTGTTTAATTAAGTTAGTTCATAATGCAGACCGGCCCCCGTAAAGTGTTACTTATGCTGAAGATTCCTTCGTCAGAGGGAATCTCGCTAAGAGTTCGCAGCATTTCAGTGTCAGAACATTCTACGGGTACTCAGAATTTCTGGGTTCGATCCTAATTGCGAACTCCCGTGAAAAATTGGGTTTAGAAATTTCTTTTTTTAATATACATCGAGTATTCCATATCTATAGTTGCTAGTTTGACTGCAATGGCAAGCAAACCAAAATTAACTCTAGCTTTAACCACCCGTTTTCGCCCTTCGCGAAAGTTAGTAGAGTTTTCTTTGAGTTTTCATTGAATCACTTTGCTAAGAGTGCCTTCCAATTGAGTGTCGTAAAACCAAATCCAAAGCAATCACAATGGCTACTAGAAGAAAGGAAAACACTTTTAAGAGCCAACGAGAACTCAAAGTAAAAAACGAACAAACTGCCAAAAGCGCGGGAAAACGCAGGCGACAAATTCGTGATTTGTTTAAGTGTTGCATCTGATTGGTAGAGAGAGTGGCGCGAGTTTTCTAATCCAACCACAGAGCGAAGTAAAAAAACCAACAAACCCTCGGATGATATTCTACATTCAATAGGAAATTCCTCTATTCTGCGTGCTTTTTGTCGCAACAAACATCTTAACAGAGGTTCTATTTTTCCTCTCAGTCCTCAGGTTTGTTTCTTTGCATCAAGGCCTGGTACATAAATCTTGCATCTTTCATGAGAGAAACTGCAAAGATTAATGCGAAGAAAGGACTCCTCTTGGAGCAAATATCTATTGCATTTAACCATTTTCTGACAGAATCTCGACAAAGGGATTTTTGAAAACAATAAACCCAAGTGCAATGCATCACTAACCTTTCTAGGAAGGCTCTCCAAGGATACAAACTTCGTGCCAGAGTCTCTTTTGCTTCCAACGGTTCAGGTAGCGAGATCTGAGCATTATAGATGCATGGTCTACGAGAAAAGAACAGCAAATTAAAGAACAGTGCATATAAAGGCGATATTCAGCAAATGGAATGTTTTTGGTTTTCTTCTTAAAAATTATTTTTCGCCAGTATTAGAAGCCATAAAGATAGCGACGAGGGGGGGAGGGGGGAGGGCGGGAAACCAACATCTTCACCAGTAAGCCAGTAAGGAGATCACGGTCACCGTGGCAATTACCACGACAAACCGGTGGATACTTAACCAAAAGTTAGGGGAAGGGGAGTCAGGAAAAGTAAGTAAAGTCGAGAAGCAAATTGAACACAATTCCTCTGCAAACCTCTCTTAGGTCCGCCATATCTCATTGGTAAAACCGGTATATTGACATGGAAATTTCATTGAGCGTTATTTTTCTCCTCTTTAAAACCCCTATTTATGAGCTGTTAAGAGGAAAAATTAACACAAATCAATCTACTATCATACCTGGGGAGATTGCTGAGGTTTTGAAGAGCGAACTCCATGTTATCTGTAATGCTC